GTGCTGGAGGTGGGCCGGGAGGTGGGGCCTGAGGGAGGCGGGGCCTGCAAGGGCCTGCTGGAGGTGAGTCGGGAGGCGGGGCCTTGGAGGGTGGGGCTTGCGGGGGTGGGGCTGCAGGGGAGAGCGTAAGGAGGAGCACATTGGGGCGTGGAAAAGGGAGACTCAGGCCTTACTGAGGTTACGGTCATGGCTGGGAGAAATGGGTGAGGTGGTGTCTGGGTAAAGGCCCTCTGGGCGATGGGGCAGATGGAGGGGAAAGTGGGGGTTGTGGGTAAGGGTTGGTCCTGGGGAGGGGGCGGGGCCAGGTGTAGGGGATGGGGTGTCTGGAGAGAGTCCCTAGCTGTGGGGGCTGATTAGCAGGTCCCGGCAGGATGCGACTTTGGAAGGCGGTTTCTGGGGAGAAGGGGCGGGGCCAGGTGCTAGGGAAGTGGTCCTGGAAGGGGCAGATGTGGGGTCAGGCGGGGGAGCGGAGACAGGATCTGGGGCCCTGGGTGCCCGGGCACAGGAACCACTGTCCCTGTGTCCCCCCTTCACCCCAGGAGGAGCGGGCGCTCTCTGGGACCCTGGAGGCCTCGAAGGCCCTGCTGGAGGAGCAGCTGGAGGCCGCGCAAGAGCGCTGTGCTCGGCTGCATGAGACCCAGCGCGAGAACCTGCTTCTGCGGACCCGGCTGGGCGAGGCTCACGCGGTGAGCTTGAGCCCAGGGTTCCCTAGTGACCCCGGGACCCCTTCTCCTAGTGTTCTTTGCTGGTCCTCTCGCCCACACAGGGTGCCTGGGCCTGGGCCTGTGGGGAGGGCGTGTCTGACCCTGCCCTACCCCCAGGAGCTGGACTCTCTGCGGCATCAGGTGGACCAGCTGGTGGAGGAGAACGTGGAGCTGGAGCTGGAGCTTCAGCGGAGCCTGGAACCGCCGCCGGGCTCGCCTGGGGAGTGTGAGTGGAGCCCCAGTGGAGGGGCTGGGGCTGGGGCTCCGTGTGTCCCTGCAGCTGTGGTGGGGACGGCTCCTGACTTCCCCCCTTCCCCCAGGCCTCTGGGGCTGTAGGTGGGAGTGTGGCAGGACTAAGGGTGGGGAGGGGTCCTGACCTCATCTCACACGCCCCAGCACCCCTGCCAGGAGCGGCCCCCTCGATACATGATGAAGTGAGGGAGGCAGAGGCCGGGCAGCTGTGCACCCTGGAGCGGGAGAATCGGGAGCTTCGAGCGCTGCTGCAGGTGCTGCAAGGGCAGCCAGGTGGCCAGGTGAGCCAGTCCCTTCCCCAACCATCCTCCAGCCAGGTGGCCAGGTGAGCCAGTCCCTTCCCCCCAACCATCCTCCTAGGTTAGAGGTTCTCAACCTGTGGGTCGCGACCCCTTTGGGGGTCGAACGACCCTTTCACAGGGGTTGTCTAAGACCAGCGGAAAACACATCTATAATTCACTATTGTTTTTGTGCTTCATCACTATGCTTTAATTATGTTCAATTTGTAACAATGAATATACATCCTGCATATCAGATGTTTACATTGCAATCCATAACAGTAGCAAAATAACAGTTATGAAGTAGCAACGAAAATAATTTTATGGTTGGGGGTCACCCCATGAGGAACTGTATTAAAAGGTCGCAACATTAGGAAGGTTGAGAACCACTGTGGTCCTTCCTGGTGGCACCCCTGGGCTTGACCCTCCCTCTCATGTGCCCTCAGCGCCCCCTGCTGGAGGAGCGGAGTGAGGACGCCATGGTTCCAGCGCTGCCCCTGGCTCCCCAGACCTGCCTGGCCTCAGGCCTTGGTCCCCAGGGCTTGGTTGGCCGTGAGGGGGATGAAGACCCTCAGGCGTTGGACGTGGCTCCCCCCGCATCAGACTCAGCCCCCAGGGGGTTAGCTGAGTGTCCCCCGACATCTGATTCCGACCCTCAAGTGACACAGCCCCTTCAGGCGGCTGCCATGGCCCCCCAGACCTTGGACCTGGCGCCTCAGCAGTCAGGCCCCTCTGTAGAGACACAGGAGTCCCTGGAGGAGGCTGACCACGGAGCCCCTCTCCAGACCCCTGCCTCTGTGGCCCCACCTCAGGGCCCAGAGATCCAAGTTCAGGCCCAGCCGTTGTTGGGAGAAGAGACTGGGGAGTCCGTGCCCAAAGTCCCTGAGAGCCAGGCCGAACCCACAGAGCCCCGCCTCCACGTGCAGCTGGAGGAGCAGCAGTGCCCTGGCCAGAGGCTGGAGCTACCCAAGGAGCACACAGAGGCCAGAGAGCAGGCACCGCGGCTGGAGGGGGTGATCAGGGACCCAGTCCAGAAGCCAGAAATGGCTCCCGAGGCCCAGGCCTTGGAGGGACCAGTCCCAGGGGAGATCTTGACCAGTGGTGACCCAGAGCAGGAGGCCCTCAGAGAGGAGGTGGCTCGGCTGAGGAGAGAGGCTGAGGCCCTCCGATCTGAGCTGGAGGTCCAGGCTCGGAGGCTGGAGGCCCGAGGCACGGAGGCTGCTCGCCTCTCCGAGGAGCTGGCTCAGGCTCAGAGGGCAGAGGCCGAGGCCCACGGGGAAGCAGAGGCCCAGGTCCAGGAGCAGGCCCGGCTGCGGGAGGCAATGGAGGCAGTCCGTTTTTTTTGAGAGCGGAGGCAGTGGGAGCGCGAGGGACCCAGGCTGCGGGCCCGGGCCGAGGCCGCGGAGGAGCGGCTGCAAGCCCTGGAGAACCAGAGCCAGCAGCACCTGGAGGAGGCCGAGAGGGAGCGCCGGGAGAGGCAGGCGCTCAAGGAGGTATGTGGGTCCTTATGTTCATTCGGGGCAGGAAATGGGGTTCCAGGCCAGTGGCTGGAGTTTTGGGTTATTCATTCCATCATCAGCCTCTGAGCCCAGCATCGAGCTGGGACTGGAGATAAAAAGACGAAGTCTGTTCCTGCCTTCCAAAGGCACGCCGGGCCTGGGAAAGGGGCAGGTGCCCCCCACCTCTAATGGGGAGGCTTTGGAGGGGATAAGAGTGTGGGCAGGGATCCAGGGTGCCTGGGTCTAAATCCTGGCTCCCTGACCTCAGCAGGCACTCACCTGCACCCAGTGCCTCCTTCTGTAAAAGGGGGTACTCTTCATGGCTGCCTGGCGGATCTTGTGGGAGACCAGGGGAGAGAGTGGTGGGAGAGCCTCATTCACGCTCTTGACAGGTTGGCTATAAGAGCAGGGTGCTGCGGGGGCCTGCGGAAGAGGGAGCTGATGCTGGGGTTGGGCGAGAGGCTTTGGGGAGAGTTCTGAGGAAGGTCAAGATTCCACCAGATGGGGAAGGACATTTCATCCCAAGGAACAGCCTATGCAAAGACTTGAAGGCATTAAAGATTTTCAGGGGCCCAGGAGGAGTAGGGGGCTGGGAGCTGGAGAGGTGTGCTGGGTCAGCATTTCAGGTGTTAGTGCTCCATCCCCAGGCAGGGAGAGCCCCCCGGGGCGTGGCAGACCTACGGGAGACTGGGTTTGAGGAGGGTCACCTTGGTGTGCAGGGGCCTGGAGCCACTGGGAGGCAGTGCCTGTGGTCCAGGTGGCAGGTGAGGCTGGCTGGACCTGGATGGGAAATGGGGGAGAGAGGAGGCCTGGAAACCCCTTTATTCATTCATTCGAGCATGTTTGCAGGTGTTTCCTGGTGGCCAGGCCCTGTACCAGGCTGCCAGCATGCCCGGACTCGGGGAAGCGCGCCTGATCTGGGGTGGAGCCGGGACTGTGCAGGGAGCCGTGTTGGCTCAGGAAGCACACCCATGAGGGAAGGCCTCCTGGAGGAGGGAGAGGATGGCAGTGAGCAGGGAGGAGTTTGTAGGGTGGAACCCGAGGAGGGCAGGGGAAGGAGGTGAGAACTCACTTAGCCGGGTTCCTACTGGGCAGGGCTTCATCTTCCTTCCACGCGAAAGAGTTGCAGCCGTTTTAATGAGGGCAATGGGGCCCTGGATAGGAGTGGTCAGGACCGCGTGTGGAAGGCCCCTCAGAGGACTCGGAGGAGACATGAGGCAATGAATGCGAGGGGTGTTGGGGTCGGCGGTCAGTGCTGGGGGAGGGAGTGCCACAGACAGGAATCGAATCTTCTGCCTGAGCACCCCTATTGTACCGAGGTTCAGAAAGGAGTCATCGGATCCGAGACTCCTCCCAATGGAGAGAAGCGGGGTACAACGCACTGTTGGGTTGACCCCCGCCGCTGGGCGTTATGCAGGGGCCTGGGGAATGTGCAAATTGGGGGTGTGGGTAAGAGAGTAAATCTGAGAGGCTGTCTCTGGGGCCCGCTCTGAAGGATGTGACTTGAGGTGCTGTCAGGCAGACCTGGGTTATGGCCCGAATCCCCTCCTTATCAGCCCTGTGGCTTTTGGCAAGTTACTGAACCTCTCTGAGTCTCGGTTTACTCACCTGGGAAACCGGAATACAAACGACCTGCCCCACAGGATGCTGTCAGGTAATGACTGCGGAGAGCTCGCTCCGGGCAGCCGTGGAGCGGGAATGCCAGCAGGTGGGCCGTGAGGGTGCGGGCGGGGCGGGCGGGCTGGAAGAGCCAGCTCTGAGGCCTGAGTGGGTGGAAGAGGCTGAGGACACGTGGGGAATGTTTGAGATTTCCTGGTCAGAGCACTTGCTGGTGGTAAGTGGCTGTGGCGCAGGAGGAGGTGACCAACCAGGGAACCAGGGAACCAGGTCAGAGACCCAGGAGCCGAGGGGGTGGTCCAAGTGGGCCTCCTGGACTGGGTGGAGGGCAGGAGGTGCAATGGAGAGGGAACTGAAGGCTGTGGCCAGGGCCTGGACGGGGGCAGAGCAGGACTCTGGGCAGAGGTTCAGTTCTTCTTCATCGTATCAGTATTCTTACCTTCAGCCCTTGGTTGTCAGCAGCAGGGCATCATGGACTTGTAGTTTTTCCAGTGAGAGGCAGCAGGCCAAGGTATCTGGAGGTGCATTGCTTCTGAGGGGAGGTCTGAGAGGTGGGGGCTTGCTAAGCCAGGAAGATCAGAGCAAAGGCTGCAGGCTTGGTTTTCAGAGGCAGGATTTGTCAGGCCGCTGGGTCGGAGTTGGCCTTTCCCTTGGTTTTTTCCTGCCAGGGCCCCCACACCTCGGAATGGTTTGGTCTACCTCCCCTCTGGGCCCACAGCTCAAATCGGGCCTCCTGCCCCATTCTGCAATGGTGTGGCCCAACTGCCAGAGCCCTGGGCCCTAGCACCTCTGCCTTCCCCCTCCCAGCCTCACTGTGGTTAGGCCTGGTGTTCACCAAGTTCCTGTCTTCTGTGGCATCCCCTGTGGCTGAGGGCTCTCTCCAGACCGGCTTCCGCTGAGTCCCTCTTTCCTTCATGGCTAGGATGGCCTCAGCACACAGGGCACGTCCACCCGTCACTGGGCACAACAGGAAGCAAGAGCTCCGAGAGGTGAAGACTCCCGGCCCCGGAGCCTCCCTCATGCCCTGCCAGGCTTACAATCCCCAGTTCTTCATACCCATGCTGCCCAGCGACCCGGCTTTGCTTCCGTTTTACAGATCTGGGAGTAGAGGCCCAAAGGTTAAAGCTGTTTGTCTAGGGCAGTGATGGCGAACCTAGGACACACGTTGATTGATTGATTTTTCTTTGTTAAATGGCATTTAAATATATAAAATAAATATCAAAAATATAAGTCTTTGTTTTACTATGGTTGCAAATATCAAAAAATTTCTATCTGTGACATGGCACCAGAGTTAATGCTGACACGCCGGAGCTCAAAAGGTTCGCCATCACTGGTCTAGGGTGGCAGAGCAAGGACAGAAAGCCAGGTCTCCTGACTCTCAGGCCTGTGTCTGTCCCTCCCTGGTGACAGTGGTGGTATGTCCTCCTGGCCCTGAGCCTGCTCTGTCTGCCCGCAGGAGCTGGAGAAGGCTGTGGTGCGGAGCCAGGAGCTGGGGGTCCGGCTGGAGCGTCTGCAGAGGGAGCTGGAGCAGGCGACTCTGGAGCGCCAGGAATTTCTTCGGGAAAAAGAGTTTCAACAGAAGAGGTGGGGGCGTGGCCCAAGGGGCGGAGAGCGCCAGGCAGAGGCTTGAGGAGGGCTAGAGGCCAAGGCTTCTCCTTGCAGGTACGAGGGCCTGGAGCAGCGGATGAAAGCTGAGCTGCAGGCTGCGGCCACCAGCAAGGAGGAGGCGCTGATGAAGCTCAAGGCGAGGGCCCTGCAGCTGGAAGAGGAGCTGTTCCAGG